CTCCTCCTCCTCCTCCTCCTCCCTTTTTATATATTATTTTTTTCCTTTCTTTTCTCTCTCCTCACTGCCTCCTCTTCTTTTCCAAGCCTCTCTTTTTTCGTCTTCTTCTCTCTTTCCCCATTGTCTTTCTCTTCCCTTTCCTTTCTTCCTTATTTTCATGTGCAGGAAGGTGCCACCTGACTAAAACAATAACAAGTATGTAGAGAGAGATTGTCATGTAATGTTTCCAATGTTTCCTTCAGGAAATTTTCAAAATAGAACAGAACTGTTTGGATTCATTGAAGAAGAAATATACCTAAAGCTGTCTCCTTGTCCCTTTTGAAACGTCACCCTGCAACCCGAAGCCCTCCCCCTCCTATTCCAAGAAACCACCCCAACGAAACAATTACAAACACCCCCCTCCCTCACCCCCCCAAATCAACAATAAACCAAAACTCCCAACTCTCCAACCCCCCAACCAAACAAAAAGACCCCCCCCCTCCACCCCACCCCGCCATACTTTAATCATGTCTTTTTACAAGCCCTTCCTAAATGACCTTTAAATCTTAATACATGTACATCTTGAAAACAACAAATGACTACTCAACGTCAACTTATTTTTCAGCGACGCAGTCAACGTTTTCCGGAAAGATGTCATTACCAGAAAACACTTTCTGCCTAAAGCCCTGACAGAGTAGTTTAATGTAGATTTTCACGAGATGGAACTTCCGAAACTGAGCGAACGAAGAAGCAACAACAGAAAGAAAAAATACGAAAAAACCCAACAAACAAACAAGAACGAAAAAACGAAAACAACCCTCCCCAAAACAAAAACCCAATAAAACAAAACAAAAAACCTCGCCTGGCAAACTGACTGAAAGAAATTTTTTTAACCTCGTCACTCGTAAGCATCTTCAATATAAGTGTTACTCAAATCAAAGACCCTTTCCTCAGTGACCAGAGGGCTGGCAAGCACCACTAACCTGTCTAACACCAGTATGATCAAGAGGTCACCGGGGAAGTCCACCAGTGCCATAAGGAAAAAGTTAAGATGGCGGTTCCCCGCGAGGGAAGATGAGGCCAAAACTAAGGCATAGTAGGTGATAGAACACGTGATCCTGAAAACACAAATCAACAATGAATGAGAAAACACAAACGAGCGTGATACCCAAACTTCAACTTAAAAAGAAGGTGTTTTATGCCCCCTATCGACAAAACTTAAATCAATTAGGAGGTGAGGTTGGACTCTGCCTGTCAAGGCGAACCCACGCTGAGAGGGACATAACGTCCCAGCAGACAGACCGAGATACTCGATAAAAATCTCCACATACGAGAAGCGCCTGACCGCTACACTGGTACCTTCAAACTGATGTCCCAATTTAGTCCATACATGAACGGAATATAAAATTGATTTAAATAGAGTTCAGGTAGCTTTCTTTTGTCACCCGTGCCTTAAGAGGTATGCCATTAGGTTAACGTGAATATCACCTACGATATCCTTAGAGACACCCCCCCCCCCCACATACACAATCTTATTTCGGAAATGCTGTCAGCGTGTGCGCTAGATAAAACAAAATGTCATAATAGTTTTTTTTAGAAAAAAAAGCTCAACTAAATTAGGGTACATGTCAACAGCCATACGTTATGTTTGAAGGAACATATAATTTTAGGCCTTGAGGTAAAAACAAACCGAAAAAAATAAATAAAAAAGCTCTCGTAGAATCTCGACTGTCTTTAAGTCCAGCAACGGTAATCCAAATCTTCTCAGATCAACGGTCGTGGGTTCGAATTACGTTAGGGGCTGGACGTTGTGGAAAGGCACTTTACACGAATTATCCTAATTTAACCTAGATTGGAATGGGTACCCGCCCATAGACAGCGAATTATCTTGCTTCCCAGGAAAACGAGATTGTTTCTGATTGTTCTAAGGTCTGTTAGGGTAAACATGAACTTTAAAGCGCCAAGAACCTGCTGTTGAATTGGAACATAGGATATAAAAATGCTATCTATTTATTTACAGAAGGATAGTATTATTTGCTTACCAGGTCAGCCAGATGACCAGGGAAGACTTAAGCAATGACTTGTGGCGAAGTATGTCCAGCACGTTGTACTTCTCGGAGTCTGGCTGCTGCTCAGACGGCTGATAATAAGAAACATTGTGCGTGGTATTATTATGCTAATTCATTATGTCCATTTTTTTTAGCACGGTGTCAAAATATTTATAAGACTCTATGATTGGAATAAAGGTCAGATAACGCGTATCTAGAATAATTACTTTGTCTATATAATTGATCGTGTTGGCTGTGAAAAAAGGGTTCTTTGCTTTGTTAGAGAGCAATATTTTGTTTCTTGTTTATGAAGGCTAGAGTCCGAGAAAACTTTCATCAACGCCCTTAACC